CCGGGGCATCGGTGAGCAGGGGCGCGGCGGGCGGGCGGGCCGCGGGGTCGTGCCGCGGGGGCCGCTGGGCGCTGACTGCCGCCGCCTCCGCAGGGGATTGCGTGCGCCAGACGGTCCGCAGCCATGGCGTCCTGGGCCTGTACCGCGGCCTCAGCTCCCTGCTCTACGGTTCCATCCCTAAGGCGGCCGTCAGGTGAGGCCAGACCTGGGCGGCGTCGAGGGGGGCCCGGCCCGGCGGCGGCGGCACCTCTCACGCCCTCCCGCCCCCAGGTTCGGCATGTTCGAGTTCCTTAGCAACCACATGCGCGACCCCCAGGGACGGCTGGACAGCACTCGCGGGCTGCTGTGCGGCCTGGGCGCCGGCGTGGCCGAGGCCGTGGTGGTCGTGTGCCCCATGGAGACCATCAAGGTGGGGATGGGCACCGCGCGGCCCTGGGACTTCAGGGGGCGGTGAAGGGACAGGCGGAGGAAAGGCCTGGCTGTGCACCACCGAGGGTATGTGCAGCTGGAACACAGACCCAAAGGCTTCTAAAAATTCTTCCATAGACAGCAAATATAAGGTCACACGTTTGCTGCCGAAACCTTTCGGAAATAGCTGCAAACATGGCGGCAGACTTTTGGGCAAGGGGGCAGTCTTTTCTGTGTAGGGCTTCGCCTGGCTCTGTCCCTGTGGGCTGTGCTGAGTGGCCGGGTAGTGCTGCTTGCGGGCCAGGAGCTGGGTCCAGCCCTGGCCTGGGCAGCCGATTGCCTGTCAGCTGGGGCCAGGCAGGCCTTTGGTGGCCCTGGGACCAGCACCTTTGCTTTCTTCTTAGGTGAAATTCATTCACGACCAGACCTCCCCCAACCCTAAGTACAAAGGGTTCTTCCATGGGGTCAGGGAGATCGTGCGGGAGCAAGGTGAGCCACGGGGAGGCGCCCCCTCCCCACCTTTGGTCCGGGGGGCGGGGCGTCACTGTGACGCCCCCTCTGCTCCTGCCTCAGGCCTCAAGGGCACGTATCAGGGCCTCACGGCCACCGTCCTGAAGCAGGGCTCCAACCAGGCCATCCGCTTCTTCGTCATGACCTCCCTGCGCAACTGGTACCGAGGTGAGGTGTGTCCGCTGCTCCCGTCGCAACCACACAGACGCCACCTCTCCCCCTCTCCCTTCTGGGTCCCCTAGCCAGAGCCCCAGCCCCCGGGAGCGCCCACCTTCCTAGACCCTGACCCAGACCAGGCTCCTCCCCACTCTGCCCTGCCACCCCTCCGAGCGCTGACAGACGCACCCCGCCCACCATCACCCCCTGACCACAACCCCCACCAGGGGACAACCCCAACAAGCCCATGAACCCACTAATCACTGGGGTCTTCGGGGCCATCGCGGGCGCCGCCAGTGTCTTCGGAAACACTCCGCTGGACGTGATCAAGACCCGGATGCAGGTGGGGCCCGGGAAGGGATGAGGCCTGGTCAAGGGGAGGGGAGGCGGAGGGCTGGCTGACGAGCTGCTTGCACCCCGCAGGGCTTGGAGGCCCACAAATACCGCAGCACCTGGGACTGTGGCCTACAAATCCTGAGGAAGGAGGGGCTCAAGGCGTGAGTGTCAGGGCAGGGCTTTTGTCCCCACCCCTCCCTGCCCTTCCACCTGGACATGGTCCCTCTGCCCTTGCTCACTGCACGCCCCTCCCAGGTTCTACAAGGGGACCATCCCCCGCCTGGGCCGGGTCTGCCTGGACGTGGCCATTGTGTTCGTCATCTACGATGAGGTGGTGAAGCTGCTCAACAAAGTGTGGAAGACGGACTGAGCCCATTGTTGCGGAGGGACCCCGGTGCCTCCAGTCCAGCCCCACATGCCCCACGATGCCAGTGCAGAATGCCAAAAGGCCCCTCCCTGCGTCCTTTGAGCCCTGTGGCCTGTGTCTGAGTCCACATGTCCCCTAGTGCCGTGTGTCCCCTGTGGACTGTGTGTGACACTACCATTGTGACCAGCTAGGCCGTGGCTGGGTGTCCCCGTGGCCCATGACTGTCTGCCCGCACAGCCCACGTTGCTTGCTCCTCAGCCGTGTCTTGTGTTCTGTGTTGTTGACCTTGTGCCCTGCTTCCTGGGGTGCCCATGTGGCCTGGGTCCACGGCCCCTGTAGCCATGGCTCGGTCTCAGTCCGGTGCCTTCCACCCCGGGCGGCGGGGGCACCCTGCCCCAGCCTACCACAGCTGCCTCTGGGCCTCGGCCTGGCCTCACTGCATTCCAGGGGCCCCGTGCCCTCTGCTTCTCCCGCCACTGGCCTTAACCGGCCCTCGGGCCCTTCCTCCGCCCAGGACAGGGTGGCACCGCCACTTGCAGGGCCACCCTCCCGAGGCAGAATAAACCGGATCCTGTCTGAGCTTCTGTGCCTGCTTCCCTGTGTGGGTACATCTGCAATGGCAATGACAGCCGTGTGCCACGAGGACCAGGCCGGGAGAAGGACAGCAGCTGCCCCAGAGGCGGTCAGCCCCCCAAGAGCTCTGCCCAGCTCTCCCTGTGACCTGGGGGGCAGCACCGAGTGGCCAGAGTGAAAGGCTGGCCCGTGACGCTGCTTTTCCTGTTGGGTTGACCCTTGGCCTAGCACATGGGCAACCTCATTTCCTCCCGTGCTCCTGTGACGGGCTGCTGGGGATAGGAGAGGGGAGGCGCTTGGAGGTCTGAGATCCAGCCAGGGCAGTGGGGCCATCCAGCCTCTGGCCCCGACGTTCTGAGCGGCCCTTCCTCGGGCCTTCACCCAGCCTGGGCGTGGCCTCCCCGGAGCAGGAGGGAGCTGTGATGCCTGGTGGGGCCCCCGCTTGCACCTGCAACCTGAAGCTCGGGGACCATGGGTCTCTGGCTGCAGCCTCCCAGGGACCAGGCCAGAGGTCACAGAGCTGAGCAGATGGGTCCCCATACCCCTCTATCACGCTGCACCCCAAGTTATGGCAGACCCTGGGCTGCAGCACAAGGCCTCTAGCTGTATAAAGACAGGCACCTTCCTGTCCATAGTGCCTGCCTGGGGGAAGCGTGGAGAGAGGACGTGGGTGTGCTGGGGGAAGACCGAGCCCCCCCCGAAACTGCCCCCTGTACAGTTCAGCAGGGGGAGGAAAGTCTGGGGTGGCAAGGTGTCCAGGGCAGATCTGAGGGCCAGGCGTGGGCCTGGAGGTGCAGGACAGTGTACACTTTGGGGTGCTGCTTTGAGGCCGGCCAGCCATGCACCCTGGACTCCCAGGACGCAGCCCTGGCTGTAACAGACGTGAAAAACCCAGGCAGTGAAACCAGCCAGTCAGGCGATGCCAGAGCTGTTCCCCGCCCTGGGCAGCTTGCTCGGGGCCTTGAGCTTTGCTGCAGGCCACTGAGGTTGGGGGGACGCAGCTCCCCAGGCCTGCCCCCCTCTGCACACTGTGGTCATGGGCAAGTCACCTAACCTCAGGTGCCTTAACCATAGAATGGGAGGATAAGAGGACTCGTCTCATGGGACGCGATAACGGATGAGGTCACCTACCAAAGGCTTAGAACAGTGCTGAGCTCCCAGGGCAGCCTACATGTTAGCGTTTCGCTTTGGGTTTCAGGTTATTGGAGCATCCAACATTCCAAGTAGTTCCTGGAGCTTGCAGGAGCCAGTAGCAGAGCACAAAGAAGACATGACACCCCCACAGCGTTAGTGCACCCCAGCGTCCTGTCTGGGGTGCTCCTCCCGGGGACATGGGGCAGAAGCTGCCCTGTGCTGGCGGCGGGATGGGGAACAGCCCTGGTACGCACCCTTCCTGATGACCCATCCCGACTAGAAGAGCTACTGGAGGTGGGTCAGGCCCCTGGGCTATGAGCACAGAGGAGCCAACTCACACAGACCACACTGTGATCCGATTCACAAGGACCCGAGGACTGCCAACTAGAAGGTTGGTGGTTCAAACCCACCAGCCACTCTGCAGAAGGAAGATGGGGCAGTCTACTTCCATAAAGATTTACTGCTTCGGAAACCCAACGGGAGTTGCTATGGGTCGGAATCGACTCAATGGTAGTGAGTTTGGTTTGTCGAAACTTAAGGAGCTAGCAAGGCAAGCTGTTTTGGGAGCAGAGAAAGACGCTTAGGATGCCCTAGGCTCTGGGAAGCCAGCCTGGTGGGAGGGCAGGGCGGAGGAAGAGGCAGGCACGACCCAGAGGGAGCCAAGTTGAATCTAACCAAGCCCTGAAAGGCCGCAGGCAGGACGCCCGTGGCGGGGCCAGCGCAGACCTGGGGCTGCCGGCGCTGGAACCACTGCCGGTCTGTGCAGGGCGCCGTGGGTGAGTCTCTGGTTGAACCGCAGGCGGAACAGAGCCACCGGCAGCCCCCGGAGTCAGCCGGCTAGCCCCACCACCCCGGGTGTGTGGGCCGGTGTGGGCAAGACCCAGGTCTGGATGTCAAAGCACAGGTGTAGGCTGCGGGTGCGACTCTGGGAGCCTCCAGGAGGGGTGCCGCCCGAGGTCATGGCCGTGACCAGCTCTGCTTAGCCTCAGGCCGGGGATCCTCGCGGACAGGGCTCTGAGCCCGGGGGGGGGGGGGGGGATGATTGTCTTGCGGGAGGGCAGCTAAGCAGAGGCAGGCCTTGGCCCACTTCCAGCCCAGTCCTCTCGCTGTGGGACTCAGGAAGGTGTCCTGCCCTCTCTGGGCTGATACCCCCAGGCAGCTGCCTTCCGGTCTCCCAGCCTGAAACCTCCTTAAACCCTCCCCCTGAACCCTGGCTGCATAGGCATCGTCGGGGTTCTCTATGTCCCCTGCTTGTGTAGATGAATTCTAACCAGAGCTTAGTAAAACCCAAACTCAATGCTGTGGAGTCAGATGTGACTCATAGAGACCCCTCCTTGGGTTCCCCAGGCGGTATCACTATGGAAGTAGACTGCCCACTCTTCCTTCCGAGGAGTGGCTGGTGGGTTTGAACTGCCAGCCTTCTGGTTAGCAGTCAAATGCCCTAGGCACTATGTCACCAGAGCTCCCCAGAGCTTAGTAGCCAAACAAAAGGAATCCCTCCTGACAAATGAGTCTGTCTTTTGCAAAGAGACTTCAGTGTCTGGCTTGTGTCCCTCTGTCCTCACAGGAAGCACACCCTCATCTGAGGATATGAGGATGAAAAACTCTACTTCTTAGGTGGTGTCAGACTTCACGGACAAGCGTCTTTAAGGAACACAGAGACTCAGGGGAGGGGGATCAGGAACAATGGGTGGGCACTTGAGAGTGTCCCAGAGGAAAAATCACCACAGAGTGATAATAGTGAACAATTTTCATTCGGCACATGCAGCAACAGGAAACAACGGTGGGAAACGGACAGACATGTTACCAGAACAAGTGTCTGTCCGGGGAGCTTTACAAAATCAACAGTAAAAGTAAAATACCCAAACCACACCCACTGCCTGGAGTGGATTCCATGCACAGCGCCCTAGAGGACAGAGTGGAACTGCCCACAGGGTCTCCAAGGCTGTCAGTCTTCATGGAGGCAAAGCCCCAACCATACCCACTGCCATCCAGCCAACTGGGACTCATAGCGACCCCCATTGGGTTTCCAAGGCTGTAAATCTTAATGGAAGTACATTGCCCCATCTTTCAGCAGATGGTGGGTTTGAACCACCAGCCTTCTGGTTAGCAGTCAAATGCCTTAGGCACTACACCACCAGAGCTTCTTAAACAAGAATTAAAATAAAAATTGCCATCAAGCCAATTCCAACTCATAGCGATTCCCTTTGGGCTTCTAAGGGGGTAAATATTCACGGAAGTAGATTGCCCAGTTTTCCTTCTACGGAGTGGCTGGTGGGTTTGAACCACCAACCTGGTTAGCAGTCAGATGCCTTAGGCACTACGCCACCAGAGCCCCTTTAAACAAGATAAGGTTACCCAGATAATTGTTTCGGTCCTAGAGATGTCTGAGCAAGTTGCCTAGTTCTTTGTGTGAGCCCCTTTCCTGCGTCCTAGTTACTCTACTTTTCCTGAGGTTAACTGCCCTGCCCTGATGTTCCCAAAATGATCATGTGTACCGCCTCTCCTTAGGCTTTCCCTGGAATTAGCAAAGCCACGTGGGTCAGTCAAGATCAGAAACACTGGGGAAGTGACAGAGAAAACTAACGGTGGCCTCTGAACCGAGGTCAAAGCTCGGGACGGCATTAAGGTTCCAATGGAGGCTTTAGCCTTTAGCAAACCAAATGCCTTTCAATTTCAGGCTCTAACGCAAGAGCCAGAGCACAAGGGAAGGCGCAGAGAACAGAAAGAAATAAAGGGAAAACACGGGGTCACAAAAGGGGCGCTGGACAACGTAGAAATGTGCCGTGGACCCAGAGACCTCGGATGGACAACGTGGCACAGTGGAGAGGACACAGGGAACGGGCCTGAAGGATGGAAGGGCCACAGAGATTGCCCCCAACGTGCACACATGTGGTCTAAGCCAACAACGTGGACGGATGACCCTTGAGCGATCTTCTGACTCTGTGGCCAAGGCAGCTCCCCGCCTCCCACTCTCATCTGGCGAACACCCCTACCCCTGAGCAGCGTCCTCGCTGCTCAGATTGGGCCAGGACCTCACCCTTGACCCTCCCAACACAATTAGGCTGTTGTCACATTCGTCCCTTCTGTCTGGCGGCCACACCCACCACCCACTTACGCCTCCATTGGCCCGGGCTGACCTGGGAGGCCCCACGTGGCCACAGGGGTGTTACCGCCTGAAGCAACCTCCAGGGATAAACCATCTCGCCCCCTCTTGCCCCTAAATCAAAAATAAACCAAGGCCACTGCCATGACTCAATTGTGATTCACAGCAAGTCCCATCCGTTTTCCAAGGCTGTAAATTTTTTTTTTTTTTAATATTCTTTTTTTTTTTATTAGGATTTGGGTGAAGATTTACAGTAAGGCTGTAAATTTTTATGGAAGTAAATTGTCTCACCTTTTTCTGG